TGTCAATCTAATTCTACTTTTAAAATATATTTTTATTGCTACTTGTAATTTGAGTTTCTAAACTTTTGATCTTTTATAAGGATGAGATATTTTAATAAAAATACTATCTCTTCTATATATTGATTATCTAAATTTAATTACTTTTAAATGTATATCTAAATTAAATATTTATTCTAATGTATAATTCTAATTTTACAAAAAAATAATCATAAAATAAAAAATTTTATTACATTATAATATGAATGATTATTCTAATATATGAATTAACTATTTTTATTTTATTAAAAAATAATCATTAAATAAATAATATTGATTATATTATAATATGAATTATCATTACAATTTTCAAACGTTATTATAAAGTCAAATTAAATTATTGATTTGAAATTTTAAATTAAATCATAATTAATCAGATCGGACCAGATCAGATCAGATCCAATCAGATCAGATCAGATCTAATCAGATCAGATCAGATCCAATCAGATCAGATCAGATCCAATCAGATCAGATCAGATCCAATCAGATCAGATCAGATCAGAACTTATTAGAATCTGATCAAATCAGAAAAAATAAGTTGAACGGAACGGAGCCGTAGTTTTTTACTCCCAGCGTCCTAGAAAGAATGCCACGGTTACTATTCTGGCCTCTCGATAACTTTTGTTTGTTTACTCGTTTTGGTTGACAATTTGATAAAATAAAATATTCTTGTCGCATCTTGTTTTGTAGAACTTTTCATATTTTTAAATGGTGTAATTTTTATTTTTTATTACTCTACCAATTTGAAATTAAAGTGATTTTAAAAGAGATTATATTTTGCACGTCGTTCGAAGTGTTGCAAATAAATTGGGACGGAGGGAGTAATACGTAATTTTTATTTCTTATCGATATGCCGGTTTGTAAATAAAATGATTTCAAAAAGAGAGATATTTATTCTCGTAAACCCCAATATAATTTGTTATCAAATTGGGGACGAGGGAGTAGTATTTTTTACCGACCATTGTGACATTTTTTTTAATAAGTTGAGAAAAATTTGTGGTAGCATCCTTGCGTAATTACATAAATATGGTAACCGATCCATTGATATGGGAGATTGGGAGATTGTGGTGATGGATAACTTTCTCCGACCTAATAATTAAGAAAATGCTAGAGTCACAAACATTTAATTCACAAATTTATTTTTTCTGGATTTTAAATTAAAATATTTTTTATTAAATGAGTGCATTTTATTTCTAGGAAAGTGTTAAAAAGATAAGTTTGTGAATTTTGTGAACTCTTTATTTGTGACTCTAGGATTACTCTAATAATTATTGTAAGGGATGGATGGAAATGAATATGGGAGCACCAATAATCTATTTTCCGGGTGCTTGCATTCGAGTACCTTTAATATACTTTGTCTGAGAATATCGTTTGGATTTGATTGTATTTTAGTCTAATAAAATAGGACAGATTTAGTTATTAGTAGTTAGTTAAAAATTGTACGTATTAAATGTTAAAACTAAAATGTTACTGAAATTTGCACTCTAATGTGACAAAGGCGCAGTTACTTTCTCCATCAATATCTCCAGTGTCTGGTTCTTCGTCACTCCATGTTGATGCAAACGCCTGCCTTTTCTTTTTCATGTTGTTTGCACATTCTGTTTGAATGTGACCGAAACCACCACACTCAAAGCATTGTGGTCCTTTTCTCCTTGCTTCTAACGGTTGTGTCTTGAATTCTTTCTCTTTCATCATTTTGGTTTGAGAGCTTCTCTGAGGATCTTGCATGAAGACCTGTTTCCCCTTTTTCTGGAGCCACCTTTTTGTAAACTGTTTGGTGACCAGTGACAGCTGCTCTTGAAAGTCATCATCTGATATGACATCATCTTCTAGATCTAGATCACCCACCTGAAACGCTATTTGTTTCTCTGACTTCTTCTTCTTTTGTTCCTCTGACATGGCCAACTCAACAGTTTCAAGATTTCCCATTAGTTGATCCAGCGTCATCCTCTTCACATCATGTGCTTGACGTATGGCCTTGGCATCAACTGAATAGCTTTCTGGTAGGGCACGCAGTACCTTTAGAACCAGATTGTCTTCTTCAAAAGGTCTTCCAAGACGTTCTGCTTCATTTGCCAAATCTCTCACTCTGCCATGAAATTCAGTGATACTCTCCTTGTCTTCCATTCTGAGATTTTCAAATTTTGTCATGAGAATTTGGTATTTTGCTGTCTTGACTCTCTCATCTCCTTCATGGGTTGTCTCAAGAATCTTCCAAGCATTCTGTGCTTCAGTGCATTTTGCAATGAGTCTGTATTGAGAACTATCCACTGCTCCAAATAACGCATTTAAGGCCTTGTCATTGCATTCAGCAGCTGCAGCTTCTTCCTTTGAGTATTCCTCAAATGTTTTGGGAATTTTTGCATCTGATCCTTCAACTGTCTTAGTGGGAATCTGCCAGCCAGTTTCAACACTTCTCCAGACTCTCCCACCTTGTGATTTTAGGAAAGCCTTCATGCGCCCCTTCCAGAAGTTGTAGTTTGGTCCTCTTAGCAGTGGTGGTCGTTGTACATTTGCTCCTTCTTCCATATCTCCCATGTTTGATCTTTAAAGCTAGTATCTTAAGCTTTAATGGCTCTGATACCAATTGAAAGTTTCACTTCTCTCAGTGTACGACCTGTAACAACATAAAAATAGCAAGTTGTGGCAGAGGATGCTGAAGCACTTTTTAATACTAAGTTGTAAAACAAAGTGCTTCACCAATCACTGAACAAGCAATCAAGAACAGAAAAAGAACAACACATAACACGCAAATTGTTTACGCAGTTTGGAGCAATTTCTCCCACGTCTGCGAGGCCCACGTCAGTGTAACAGCCTTCCCACTAAATCAATTCAGAGTGTACACCCTCAACGTCAACAGACTCGATCTATCCATTGATCTAAACTCAACAACTTAATGGGATGCAATAAACTCGGTTTATGCAGATATACCGAGACTGAAACACTGAGCAACTTATTTGAGACGTGTTCCTGGCCTACACTCTAGTTCTTCTCAGTTCAACTGACTGGAACGCTCGTTAGACTTCCTGCAGAAGAGTATTCTGCATACCAGCTATACTTTTGTCTTCGATCTGCTTGGCTGACGTGCTCTTCTTCAGAACTCTCTCTTTGATATTTTACTCTGATTATGTTCTCTCTCTCGTGCACGTACAGAACTAGATCTCCCTTTATTTATACTTTTCCAGGCGAGATCAACCCTAGTAGAGTCCTGATGCAACTCTACTATCGAGGTTCAACTTATCCGGTAGAGTCCTTGATCAGACTCTCTTCCAATTTAGCACATGTTTATCATCACCGTTAGAGATTGTGACGTACGAGGTATCAGCGAAACGTAGAGTCCTTCTTCAGCTTGATAAACAACGTAGAGACCTTCTTGAGTTTGGTAAACAGTAGTCCCAAATGCATTTGGACTATTAGAGTGACTCATTTTTTATTAAATGAGTGCATCTTATTTCTAGGAAAGTGTTAAAAAGGTAAGTTTGTGAATTTTGTGAATTCTTTATTTGTGACTCTATGATTACTCTAATAATTATTGTAAAGGATGGATGGAAATGAATATGGGAGCACCAATAATCTATTTTCCGGGTGCTTGCATTCGAGTACCTTTAATATACTTTGTCTGAGAATATCGATTGGATTTGATTGTATTTTAGTCTAATAAAATTGGACAGATTTAGTTATTAGTAGTTAGTTAAAAATTGTATGTATTAAATGTTAAAACTAAAATGTTACTAAAATTTGTACTAAATAGGACTAAAATATACGAATTAAAATGTTACTAAAACATACGGACTAAAGTGTGTAGTTAGTGAGTCAGCTACCATATACTCTCATAAAAAGGCATATAATGTATTGATTGGGTTGGATGGTAATAAAAATTAAACAAAATAAAATGTAGAAAGGAAAAAAAGTCATTCATTCATTAATAAAGGGGGCCGGCGGGCCGGGTGATTAGGTCGGAAGGATCCAAATCTATTGAAACTAGACGATTGAGTAGAGATCGGTAAAAGGCCGCCACCGGCGTCGGGAGGAGAGCAGATTAATCTTCAGGTGCAGGGGCAGGCGCAGGCGCCACCACCGATGGCCCAGCTGCCGCCGACGCCTCGGCTTGCTGCTGCTCCTCTTCCTGCTTTTGGGCAAAAGTTCCCCGGTCAGGGAAGCACCATCAAATTTACTCACCAGGTCTCCATCCACAGGCTGAGGGTCCTTCCTAGTGGGGAGGGTGAGGATATATGTCTTTCTGCGCCAGGTCTCCAAGGGCAAAGGCTGTTATCTGTTCGGCCGATGGTGGTGGTGTGGTGAACAACCATTGGAAATTTCACTTTTAGGGTCAAAATCGAGTTGTTGACCAGGTTTGGGTAGTCTCTGATGATCTTGCGGGTCACATCCAATTCCTCTCCACCGAAGTAGAGAGTTTGCCTCCAGACCTTGGCATCTCCAACAGATCTCTCGAAAATTCTCGCCTTCAGATCCAGGATGGTTCTACGCACAGTAAAAAAAAAAAGAATTTGGTAAAGTGCCCTTGTGTCAATCAATCTTACACCTACACTGTACACACTGTGTCAAAAAGCAAAAATGGGTAAACTGTGATCTATCTTGCGCTAATCTATTACACCACGCCATATAAAACGGAATTATGATTAATAATAATAATAATAATAATAATAATAATAATAATCCGTAATAATAATAATAATCTGCAATAATAATAATAATAGGTAATAATAATAATAATAATAATAATAATAATAATATTAATCATAATAACAACAACAATAATAATAATAAAGAGATAATGCATTGAATAGCTATATCTAGGGCAGCCCACCACTTTTTGCGCCGTCGTAGGGAATATAATAAGAAAAAAAGAATGACTTGTAATAATGATGATGGGACACCACACTGTCTATTTATATAGCTATATCTAGGCCATTTTAGGGTTTTGGTAGGTCTCATCATTTGCTCCGTACGATTCTGCCCTCCAATGGTGAGGTGGCACTCAACCAGCTGGAATCCATTCTCTCCTTTTTTTTAAAAATGTGTCCGTACAACATTTAGAATGAAATGGATTAAATAAAGTGGGTGAAATGTAATAAATAAAGTAAGTGGGGGTGGTTATGATATTTTAATTGTTAAAAAATGAAATGAGAAGATCTATTGTGGACAAAGAAAAAAAGCTATTGAGAAGATCTATGGGGGACAGAGGGAATATATATATATGTATGTATGTATGTATGTATGTATGTATGTATGTATGTATGTATGTATGTATGTATGTATGTAAAGTTAATTAAGTTTATGTGTTGTGGTGTTGACATGTGGCATGCTACATGTGCATCCACATGTGCACCTATTAATGAGGTGGATTACATTCAATTGGTCCATTTAGCTTTTTAAATACATTTTATTGCATTTGATTAAAGGAATATTATATTTTAGTATTAAAAAACCATTACTTTAATTATGTTGTGTATAAAACCTTTTGTTTTTGAATTAATATACCAATATATATTCCACCACTTTAAAATATATTTTGTTTACTTAAATTATATCTAAAAAAATAATTTTTAAACTTTATTTGTCGATATTTTGAAAAGTAAATTTGTATGATTTTATAAAAATAATTTATCATTTATCTTTTAGTACTTTTAAACCAAATACTTAAAGAATTTTTAGTGTATGTACATAACTATTTAAACTATAGTTTCTATTTAAAAAAAGACACAGAGTATTAGAGCTAATAAACATACATCTAACACATATAATGTCACTATTAGAAATCTAAAATAAATAAAATTATATTTGGAGAGTGTCAAAATTTAGAATGTATACGAGCCCGTGCGAAACACGGGGTTAACACTAGTGTATATGTGGAATGTTGTGATTGCACTAGCATTGTGTATCAATGTAAGTCATCAAAATGTAAGTGTAAACTTTTAGTGCATGTTTTGTGGTATGTTTAGGGTATACCTAAACTTGGTAAATTGGTCGGTCATGCTAGATTCCGGTTCAATCACATCGGCTTTGGGTGAACTTGGGTTTGGTTTGAGAAGTGTATGTTCATGACCCAATGTTATCGAGTTCGGGTCGACCTAACCGGTTATGACTTTGGTTTTTAAAATTTTTAAATTTATATTAACACATGCATTTTGCATTGAATAAAATTAAAATATCAAAAAATATGTATTAAATTTATTATATTATTTTATTTTAAATTCTGAAGTAATGTTTAGGTATATAAATCAATATAAAGAATTAAAAAAATGCATAATTTTTGCAAAAAGTAAGATAGTTATGCAATAGTAAAATTTGCACTAAATAGGACTAAAACATAATGACTTTCCTAATGTAGGACTTAAACGTTTTTATTCCCTAAATAGAACTTAATAATGACCTATTGGAAGGAATAATGTCCAGCAATGATGGACATTTAGTTGAATAATGACTACTTGATAATGACCAAAGGTCCTACATTGAGAAATAAAAACATATGGTCTTATATTGGGAAAGTCATTATGTTTTAGTCCTATTTAGGTAAATTTCTCAATGCAATATCATTAAAATTTTGTCCAAAAATATACATTTATACACTAAATACAAAAATTAAGAAAAAAAATATAATTATAACATTATATTTCATAATAAAGGATATGAATTTAAAAAATTCTTATATTAGCGGATCAGTTAGTTAGGTATGAGTTCGGTCGGGTTTGACCCATTTTTAGCAGGTATTTTTGGATTCGGTCAAAAAAATCTTTGTTCAAAATTCAGTATTTTCGGGCTGAATTTTAGATTAAAAAAATAGGATGGTCATTTTTTGTCAGCTCTAGGGATACATAGAATATATGGTTGGACAAGATTAAACATTCTCGTTTTATTTTTCAGGGATTTTAATATTTTTTAAGCGATTCAAGCAGTTTGCCTGAAATGGCAGAATATGTTGTGCTTTTAGTATGCGACGACAAAATACATTTAAAATTCGAAGAAAAAATTAATCGTACTTCGATTGGATCAACCATATTCTCTGGAACATAGTATGAGCCATCAAGAGGTGAACATGAACATAAACAGTAACCGAAACTAAATTAAATCAGGACCCAAAGAGACTAGAAAATTGATGAAATGATCCAAACAAGTATGGTGATCAAGAATTGAACCAATCATATCCCTAAGTTTCTCTAAAAAAAAATCAGGAGTAGCGGTTCAAAAAAATACCGCAAAGAATCAAACCATAAAGAACCAAGCAGTACGGTCGGCGATGCGAGGTATCTTCACATATTGAAAGTCCGAACCAAACATATTTATTAATATATTATAAAATAATAATTTTATATTTTTTCTTTAAATAATATATTTATTTTGAAAATTTGCTTCAAATTTTTTTATATGTAAATTATACTTTTATTCAAGTTTTAATTTTTAATAGATGAATATATAAAAATATTAAAAAAATTTGAAATACATAGTACCATTTCGTTATTATTCATTCTCTTTAGGTTGTAAAATTCTCTCCTATTAACTAAATTTTATAAGTATTTCTTGCATTTAATTGTTCATTTTTTAGTTTTTTTGTTTCTTTATTTAAATGTACTTTAGATTTTTCAAAAATAAAAGTTTTGTTATATTTTAAAGTGTAAACTACATACGCATGTATTCATGCTGATTTGCACCAAAACTGATACTGAACCATAACGAATTGATATTTCGGGATCAATACGATTTAAAATCTCATACTCAACCAAAATACTTGGTACGGTTTCGATGCGAGCTAATAAAATACCGTACCATGTGCACCTTTACATTTTATTGTTCATTTTTTTAGTTTTTTATGTTTCTTTATTCAAATGCACTTTAAATTTTTCAAAAATAAAAATTTTGTTACATTTTAATGTGTAGAAATCATTCTAAATAGGACTAAAACATAAATAAAAGTACCAAAATAGGACTTTCATATTTTTTTCCCCGGAATAGGACTTTGCACTGTGGTAATGTGACTTTGATTGTGGTAATGTGGCAGTGTACATATGCAAATTACTATACTTTTTTGGTAATGTATATGACCATGTTTGGTAATGTAAGTACTATTTCGGGAATAAAAACATGGAAGTCCTATTTTGGTATATTTTCAATGTTTTAGTCCTACTTTGGTCTTTCTCCCTTTAATGTGTAAACCACGTACGCATGTATTTGTCCCTATTTGTACTGAAATTGATATCAAACAATAACGAACTGATATTTCAGGATTGGTGCGATTTATAATCTCATACCTAATCGAAATATTTGATAGCTATCGATAACCGTTCAAATGCACCTTTAGAAACAAGTTATCCCACAAAAATAACTGATTCAAAAGGCCTTTTTTGTAGTTGTGTGCCGAATTACATTGGGTTCGAGGTTTGTTAGCAGCTCTTTTTGTACCGTGTGTTGCTACTCTTACTTTGTACTGCGACAACAAGTCTGCTTTATATTTTGCCGCTAATCCTGTGTTCCATGAACGATCCAAGCACATTGATATTGACTATCACATTGCTTGTGAATGTCTACTAAGCAAGCAGGTTGTCACGACGTATGTTCCTACTCGTCTTCAAATTGCCGATATCTTCACGAAGGCACTCCCCGGACTGCTTTTCCAATTTCTTATATCCAAGTTGGGCATATATGATGTTTATGCTCCAACTTGAGGGAGAGTATTGGAATATCTTGTACTTATTTTTAATATATATATATATATATTGTGTTTCGTTATACGATTATATGTAGGAGTATATTCCTAGTTAGTTTTGGTAACTCTTGTGAGGCATACATCAATGAAAATGAAGTCATTCAATTCCAAATTTCTACATTTATCAACGAAAGGAATAATAATAGTGTATAGTGCCAAAAATGTTAGAATTCACTTTGTATCTTTTTATTTTTATTTCTTATCAGTTTTAAGTTAGTTTTAATTGATTATCTTTTCGTTTAATAATTTTTTTAATTAATTATCTTTTCGTTATTTTCTCCTCCGTTTACAAAAAGGCTTCCACTTTGATTTTGAGCCAAAATAAAGAAGTGTTAAATTATTATTGACTTTCAATTTTGGCCTTGATGTGATGTGTAAAAGTAAGATGTGATGGATAGATTATTAGAGAAAAAAGTATGATGTGATAGGTAGGGTATGAAAAAGTAAGGGTAAAAGTGGTTTTTAATAGAAAATGGAAGTGTTTTGTTGGAAGTGGAAAAAATGGAAGAGGAAGTGTTTTTGAGAACAGATTGAGTATATCTTTTTTTTACTCTTTTTTTGAAGTATGTAAGACTAATATGAAAACAAAAAGAAATGATATAGGTAGAAAGTCTTTTTAAAAATTTAAGGGAAATTTAATAAAATAAAATAAAAAATTATCTCAACTTTCATTTTGTTACACAAATAGGCCATTTCCGCTTACCAGTCATTAGCTGCTTAACAACGGCCAAAAACTCGCACTTTTCATTAAAGTTGAGATTATTATGCATCAAAATGAAAGATAAAATTAGTTTTA